GTTGGAAATATGCATAAAATTAATTGGTAAGCAGGTTGAATGTTTATTAAAATAAAATTGAATGAACCATTTTAATATTTTAGTAATTTATTTGCTTATTTTTTATTTAATGACCTCGTGTAACCCAATTTATATTGGGTATATTTATATACAGCTACTAAGTATTGGATTTGGGGACGGGTTTTGACAGCGATCATACTGTAGTTTGTAAATTTAACTTTAATATCTCTAAAGACTGAACAGTCTGAAAACAAATTTTGATTACATACTTATACTTAGTAACTAAGTTGAATCGTACTTGAATGTCTTTCAGAAAAACCATAGAAATAAAAATATCGGAAAAATGGGTTCACGACAGTAATGTAGCTAAAATGCCTATCCAAGACGCCGTCTGATTGTAATATTATTTTATTATTTTTACTATATTACATTATATTATTATGTTTGTCTTAATACTTGTACAACGTATTGGACTATAATATGTAACTATTATTTTATTTTTTAATGTGACTATAATTTAGTGTCTCCCAAAGAGTGTGCCGTAAAAGTTCAAAGCTATTCCATGATATTTGCGTATTTATAATAATTATATAATATGATGTTTCACGATCATAAAGTACATAAAAAATATAAATATCAAAGTATAGGTATATAATATATATATATTATTATAATACTAAAAATATATCATATCAAAAAATTAAAAGGTCAAATATCGAAGTTTGTAATATCAAGAAGTGTACCATAAATTATAATTATATTAAAAATAATCTATCGTGGTGAGAAGCAGTTTGGGAACCACTGAACTAAACAGTATTACACATGAGAGAMATATACCTATACAGTATACATATTAGCGAAATTATCAATAGAATGTAAAAAAAACCCTGAACGTGTACTTAAAATCGGTTTTTATATGATAATATTAACGTGTTTTTTTTTTGGCTGTACCCGTGTTCAAACGTTGCACTGGAATTAATGCCCTGAATTTAATACATCAAACAACAATCATTTTTCCGTTTAATTTACAGTAATGYTTTATTATTAAAGTACTGATAAAATGTTAAATCGCTTTCAGAAATATCTAATACACTATTTTTTTAGACATTTCTTTAGATATTAAAAAGAAATTTTCACATTTTTTTTTTCTTATAAACGTGTAATAAACATTTTAATGACGATATATCTTAAATAAACTTTTTTTCATGTTTCAATAGTTATACAACTAAATAATATATTTTATGGTCTATTGGTCTATCAAAAATTTTGTTTGTGAAAATTGTTAACAATTTATTAATACATAATATATAATATCACTAGAAAATGAAATTTAGTATAAAACATACAATGTTTTTTTACATGACTAGATTAGTATTTAGTATTAATACATTGGTAGCATTCCAAGACTAGAAACGGTTTTTTAAAAAATACATTTTAGTATACAATATTCTCTTATAAATTGTTTACAAACTAAAAAAAAAATGACTAGGTTTATAAATTAAAGTAGGTAACACATAAATTTGTTTAATAATAATAATAATAATAAATAATAATAATAATAATAATAATAATAATAATAATAATAATGATAATTATATAATAATAATCATACTAAACAACTAAAAATACATTTAAAGTAACAGATAATTAAATTGCCAAGTATTTAAAAAAAGACGTGTTCCAATCTAAATAGATACTTATATATTCGCACAGAAAATTGCCCGAAAAATACAATCATATTTTAATATAACCTTAAGGTTATAAAATACAAATATATACAATATTTTACAACTAATCATATTTGATTGTAATGATTTTTTAACGTGTTAATGTGCATGTGTATTAGTTATTTTATTACAAATAAATCGGATGCATAATAGAAAAATCTATGACACAAATTATAAATAATAATAATAGTATTCTCTCGTTTTATTAAAAATAATTTACTGGCTAGGCAACCACACATATGCACTAAACTTATATTAAAATATACTATACACTATGAGGGTCTTATAATGTACACGTGAAAAAAAAATATTCAACAGACGAAGAATCTGTGCCTTAGAATTCTAAGTTTTCTAAGTTTCAAACGAAGTTTTTAATTTTTTATTTGGGAATAAAACAATTTCAATTGAACAGTGGATTAGCAAAAAATGCTCTCCAACCATAACTGGAATAGTATCGATCGCAAATAAAAAGATAATAATATGAATAAATGACATTTTTAATATTTTAACCAGTTATGTTGAATAATAAAAAAAAATATACGTATATGAATTCCAAAAGTTGAGAAAAAAAAATAAACTAAAACAATTTGTTGACAAAAATAAAAATGGCGTGATTCGGGCAATTGGTTTTTTCATAGGAGATTTTAAATTAAAAAATAATAAGTTAACAATCTCTGAGCAACCAAATTACCCTCAAACCAATCATTAATATTTCGTTTGGTACTTGCTTCTACTTCATACATTACATAACACAGCATTGTTTTTAGGTAAACCACAAAAAAAGCCCGGGTTAAAAACAATAAAATATAATAMATTTATAATAAAAATTAAATTAAATAATAAAAATAATCACTAATTATCAGATTTGACATTAAGTCGATTGCACTAACTATTTTGACTAGATATAATAATTGTTATGGAATGTTAAGAGACATCACTAAAATATAATTTCTATTAGAAACTCGGACGCAAACAATGTTATTCTTTTAAGAATTTTTCTTCTCGGTAATCAGTTTCATGAAAAAATATTAATATTTAGTTAAAAATATTTATTTAAGCTCGTCAAAAATTAATTTGTCTTAATGAACTATTTATAAAGTCCATATTGTATAATTTTCTATATTTCTATTACTGATTATCGTTTTTATGTATTATAAAATATTATGACGGAAAAAAATGTTGGTAAAGTTTGTGAAAGCACATAGTCGCGGTAAAAATATATACAAACTTTAAAATAATTGTTTATAAATATGATTTTTTTTTTCAATTTGCATGTAAATTGAGCGGTTTTGGACTAGATAATTGATTTGATTGAACAATCAATGTAGGTTGTGGCTGGGCCTTAATAATATTATATACTTCTATATGACTATATAATATGCGAAGAGATCATTAGGTAAATAATTGCATAAATATCAGTTAAGTGGTTTTCAACGAAATAAATACATTAATTATTAAAACAATAATATTCAAGCGTAATACTGTTCTTATGTAAAACAAATTTAACCATTGGCGTGAAGATTTTAAAATGAACAGGATAACATAGCATTTTAAATCCACAAAAAAATAAAATAAAATACATTTACTTGGTATAATCAAATAATTAATATTATATTATACAGAAGTCGATTGATTTTATTTTTTTATATATATAGATAATTTCTGCTTGTTTTCTATTATTGTATGATTAAGGGACGGGATAATGGTTTGGTTAGATRTTTTGATAAAAAAAATCAAAAAAAAATCGGGAAATATGTTATGTTGCCTTACCATAATATATATGTCGAGATAATATTTTTAAGTAAATAAAAAAAGAAATAAACCTATTAACTTGTATAGTATATATATATGGCCAGAAAATAAATCACATTTCGATATTGTACTCTAGCATTTTGGAATAAATATCTATATTTATTCTAATTAATTATTGGTCACAACACTTCAGACTGGTGGTTACCCATATGTGTCCCTGATTGCATGTTGACTACCATGTCGTCTTGGTGATGGTTCGATGCTGCCATTGCTTTTGGATCTTCATCTTTCCATTTATCCATCGATCGTCTCCTGGCATTCATGAAGAAATTGCCGACTGTGGTCGGTTCTAGGCCCAATTGCCTAGCTATGGTCACCTGCATTTCTTTTGACGGCCTTTTTGTTTCCTACGGAATTAAAGTTAAAATAAGTTAATTTTTCACTAGTGTGTACAAACTTGTAAGTATTTTAAATTAATTTAATTTTTAAGCTTTCGATTTTGATACTAAAATTGTTTTGTTATCTACTCAGATTTTAATGATGTTTAATATTTTCGTTTTTGGTGTTTTCAACAAATAATTCGTTAGTTGCAATAAAGTTTTAGTTTTTAATTTTATTAGTTAACTCGATTTTTTTAATATGTTATGTTTTAGTTACAATTGTGTATGTTTGGAGAGGGCTGAAATAAATAGTTACTTTATAGAAGGTAGTTAAAGCTTAGATAAGATATCTTAAGAAATAGTTTTACCTATTCTTTAAATTCCAATACAATTTTATTATATCAAATGCAATACCTACTCGATGTAAATTGTACTTTCAAGCGATTTTTATTTTGATATTKTTAAAAAAAATAATATTTAGTGTATTTAATTCTTATATTGGTTATGTTCAACAGAAAARCTTATGTTTTTCAATAAGTCGAACTTTTCCAATTTTTTTGACGTAAACTAAAACTTTTTCATTTCATATTTAATGTGAGTTATAGAAAATTCTATAATATTTCACAATATTTTAAGCAGATAATGGCCGCACATTTTTTAAGTACATATTTATAAAGTTTTTAAATATTTTTTTAAAATGACTCATTAATATTATTATAGATATGCGCTTACCTTGAAAATAGCTTGTAGTGTTCGTCGYTGAAGATCGGTAAAGACTAAACGTGGTTTTTTGGGTGCAGATGAATGATCAGGAACAATAGATTGAGAATCTTCTTTTCGTTTGCAAGGAGCTAAAAAAACAAAGGTACTTATAATCATCAAACATCTTAGTGTTAACCTATTAACTGAGATTCAGTTTTGATAAGGATGGTTTTCAAATATATTAAAAATACGTATTCGAATATTGTCTTTTGAAGTATTTGAATATAAATACAAACACATTTGAATTACTGCACAAGTTTTACTGTTTTTTGTATATTAAAATATTTGTACGTTTATTAAGAATATGTAATTAAAAGTTTCAATAAATATATAGATGGAATACCTAATAAATAAAAAAATTGAATTGGTTCAAGAATTTCAGATGTCAAATTCTTGTAATATTTCAGATTGGTAAATATACATTTTAGGTATTGTGCCATCTATATGTATTTGATGACGTTTTTTAAATTCTTTGAAGTATTCGAAAATATTATTTTAAGGACAATTTTTGAAATAGTAAAGTATGAACCAAAATTAATGGTCGTTGAAATACAACGGTAGAAAGAAAAAAATTATTTAGTTTTCTGAAATTCAATTCATACAATTAACTATAAATTATTTTATTTTATACAAAAAAGTATTTTTTATTTAATTTAAATTATTTGAGAAGTATTTGAAATACCATATAAGTATTTAAACGCAAGCACGAACTCGAATAATTAACAAGACCAAAGMGATTTAATGGTAGTTACCTATATAATTGATTTTTTTACACACACATTAATGAACTATCCGTTTTGTATAATTTTACTTCTTTTATAATACTACCATATTCTTGTTACTAGTGTGGGATCTTATAATATATTTCCAAAAACTGTATTTTAATAAAAAATGTCCTAAAAAAAATATGTATAGTATAATGTTTAACTTAGTAGGAGATATTTCAATTATTGCACTCAAGTATAGTAGGTATGTATTACGTTTTCCACAAATTGTTAATTTTAGAGAAAGTTGATTATTTTGAAGTGGAAATATGAAATAAGTATAGAGGCGTATGTTTGAAAATGATAATAGTTTTAATGAATAAGCAACAGAGGTAATGAGCTTTTGTTTCGAGAAATAAAGTTTCAAAATCAAAACATTAACTACAAGTATGAACGAAAAAAATTTAAAAAATACATTATGAAACGAAATATTTTTCCACTCTTCGTTTAAATCTAAAAGAATATTAATTTGGTTTGCAGATAATTAACGCAGAAAAGYCCCATTAGTGAAAAAATATAGGTTGTGCTATATGCACTCTAGGGATTTAAATAGGTAATGATATACTCAAACTCAGYATTTTTTACTAATTACTAATTGTCTATAAAATTAATGACCCTATGACCCTGTTTAAGATTAGTTTATTTAAATAAATCATTTCAAACCTATATCATATATTTCCATTTTAAAATATTAAAATCATCGTGATCGAACACTGTTTGTAATAATATGATTACACCGCACACGACAGGAGTGAAGGGTGCAACAATAACGATTTTAAAGAGTCCCTACGCAGAAGGATTATAAAAAAATCAAGTATTTCTATGTTTCGTGATGGTTGACCTAACTTAATGTTTTTAAGCGTATCGTGTAATCCTGCTAGTAAGTTCTGACGCTCGTTTTACGTAAATAACAATTTAAGTCTAATAAACATAATATTATTAACTAGGTTTTAAGTTTTGTTTTGATGTAGGTAATTAATTAAATTTAACTGACTCATTGTATTGATTTCAATACTCTGAATGATATATAATATTACAAATACACATCTCAGTTATTTAGTGAGTAGATACTATTAAATAGTTGGTTATTGGTAATTAAGATTGATTAATAGTATAAAATAACGATATACTTGGTTTTATGTTAAATAAAATGTAATAAATAAATACATTTTTTTTATAAATTGTATATTAAATTCTGTCAGACAACAAAATATCAAACTCAGARAAATTTGAATACAGTTTAACTATGAACTACTTTTTTTTTATTTAGGTGAGCGGTAATGGTTATCTATGTTATAAAGTGCAGTGTATATTATTATTTTTATTTTTAAACACGTCAAAGTTGTAAGACATTAATAAAAATAGAATAATTATTTTCAAAAAGGTTTTACATTACCTATTTCAAAGACAAACACGACTAAACCGACAATATTAAATACTGACTTTTTTAGTAAAACTTATTTGTAATAAAAACATTTAATTTATTATAGTATTATAATATTATATTATAGTCTTTATTATTGTTGTTGTGTTTTTTTTTTCATCAAAGCTTAACTGGAATATTTTAATTAAAGGTAGGAGATTGAAAATGAAATACGGATTAAACAAGAAATGTTGTTTAAATTCCTTAACACTTAGGTGATATTCGAGATTGTTAAAAACAACTGTGGAATATATATATATATATAAACACGGAATGTATATATTTTTACAAAAATCTCAACTTTTTATCAAGAAAACCGAGTCCCTCCACGTAGAAGTGTTTTTTTCTGAATACGGATTATTGTATGGTTTCAAATTTAAATACACCTGCCTCAGTGGCCTCTAGTTAAAAGATATGTATTATATATATAAAGGTTCTAGCAGTAGGTATTTGATTTTATTCAAGTACAAATATTACGTTTACTRTAAAGGCCGTACTGGAAATTAGTTAATTATAAATGAGAACTACGGTTTTGCTGTGGAATTTTAGCTATTGTGTAAAGCAAATACATAACAAAAGTTATATGCATATCTTTTGACGATTAAATTATGAACACATACCTACATTTTTTATAAAAATTTTTAAACCTTGAGCTAGATTTATAATATTTATAACCATAGATATTTTTTTACTTTGATCGTACTCTCGAGATAAAGTGAAAAAATAGTAGTAGGTATGTTTGTTCATACGAATTTATTGGTTTAATACGATAAATAAATTATGTAATTTTATATTGATTACTACTACCTATGTTATTACGCTGAATAACCCAATTTGATTAAGCGTGTGTGGGAGTAATCATCGGAAATCAAAACAGGGATAAACATGAGCAAACATTTTGATTGCACAGGAATATACTAGCTGACGCTTACATTAAAATATATAATATATGGACGACCCGAGTGATTTGATTACGTTAATGRAATTTGTGAGGATACAAAAAATCATCCTTTCGATGGATGTAAACAGGTACGCATAGTTTTCCAAAATAAACGATAATATTGACGTCAATTTTATCGTTTCATGGATAGCAATAAAAATAACTTAGCGTTAGACTACACTGTTTGACATTGGAGTAAAATATYGATTTTGACATTGCCGTTGAGTTCCAACGAAAGTTATTAGTCGTTTTTCAGTGAAATGTTTTTAAAACGTGTGAGAGAATAAGTTAAAACTTTTTTTCATGAACATTATTTTAACAAAGAAATTTATTTTTAATTGATGTGGTYGTTCAGAGTTGTTTGTATTTTTCATGTTTAATATTCTTTTATAATGACTTTTTTTTTTTATCTTGAGCAGGGTAAAATAAATATTGTTTTTCTAATATTTGATTCTTGTGAAAGGATAAACAAACTTTGAAGAGTAAAAATAATGTTAGAAAATTCATATTTTACACTGCAAAAATGTTTTAATAAAAATATTTAAATTAAAAAGTCTTAGTAATCATAATAATTTCCGTACCTATCTTATTATATAWTGTCAGAATAGAGTTTTTGATCGGTTTTTAATATTATATGTAAGTTGTGACTATTAATCTAAATTTATCATAATCAAACGTAAATGATATACATGGTATTATTTTAATGAGTTAAAAAAAATTTATATCACAATTAAAAATTTAAGTCAAAACAATTGGTTTTGAATTTTATGGGTTTTAATCACGTAATTTAACTGTGTTTTTTTGGGAAATTTGGTTTTACAATTATATTTGTGAAATTAAACAATATATCATTTTAATTCAGTTAAAATTTTAGATTATTGTTTAGATATGTAAATAAATAAATCAGACTACAATTCATGGTTAAAAAAAAATTACTACTTATATTATTGAAATTAAAGTAGTAACAATTAGACAAATTAAGTCAAAATGACATTAAATAGATAAAAATGATTGTTATTTATCAAATATAAATAATTGTAATTATATAATATCATTATGAATTTAAAACGTTATGCTGATAGAGAAAAATATTATTATCTATATTATGTGTGGTAGGTAAAAGCTAATAATAGGGTACTAAGCAAGATAAATAAAACAAATTATTTTAGAATGTAGGTAAATCAAAATCGGGTGGCAACTTTTCAAAATTTAGTATCTAATAGTTACCGAATGAATATGATGTAATATAGAGGGGATAAGCAAAATCAGATTTATTTTTAATATTATTTTGGATGTATACCTATTATGTTGTTGAATAGCTTCTGATTTATTTCACTGTAATAAATATAATATATTTCCCAAGTATTTTATTTTTATTTCTTTCAATACATAATTTACTTAATATTGTTACTTTTGTAGTTGTCAAACCATAAGAAAACTTTATAATATTATTTACGCATCAAAAACAAAATATTTGAATTATATCAAATGCTGAAATACAACCCGTGAATTTTAAAAATGTCATCCGTGCTTATAATATTCATGTTTTAATTACTTTTAGAAACTATAACATTGTATTTTTAAACGGTTTTATTCTGTTTTTGATCATAATATTATGTTCACTCGAAGGATATAGATAGGTACCTTCGTACATTTTTCGAACAACGAGTCCAATTAGTARGTAGTGAAACTTATAGTATTATAATATAAACAAAATTATTGTAAAACACTCTAAAATCTAATACACCATAACATAGCGTATACTTATGTAAAAATAATAATAGTACTGACTCATGTTGTTGATGTAAGTTCCGACGCTTGGTGTTGAAACATTTTGAAGTCCATTTTCTGCCAATAACATACCTGCAAAATAAATATAACGTTATCTAGTTTACAGAATTGACAACTACAGCACTCTTTTTTTTGTTAATAATAATAACGACGAGGTGCCATCGTTACGCCATAAAAATACAAAACAAAAATCAATGACTGTTAATTTTAATCTCGATGATAACAGACCTTTAAAATAWTTATAGCACTACCTATGTATAATATTGTATAACATTGTATAAATATGAAATACGTATATCAAAATGTTAGAACCAATAATAGTAATAATCGGATTTTAAAATTTAAAATAATATGTCTGAAATGGGATTCAGTCTTGTACTACGTTGCCTATTATTGTTCTTTAAYAGTGTTTATAATACTTATTTATTATTATAATATTACGACGAAATAATTGTTTAGAAATGGGAACCCAAATAGACTTTTCAGATTTTACAACTATATAAGAGGAATAGAAAACATTACATTTTTACAACCAATTTATTGCTGTTTTGCCACATGATAAATTATTGTTCGTTTAAGAGCATTACCGTCTTAGACGAACGAAACACAATAATAATTGAGACGACGACGATATTGATTACTTTTTTATTCAACTAGGAGAAAAATGGATTTGTTGCACTTTGGCTATTGGCAATTTCCCAACAAAACTTTTTTTRGCATTTGTTACATAACAATATACTTACCAATAACCCGTCAACGTGTTTTTTAAAAGCATGTGAATAAGTATATTTGTAAATTGAACTTTGAAATCAATTTCCCGAGTTTTATCTGAACATATCCACATTTATTGTCAATTGAAAACGAAACTAAATCGATTGGAGCTCAAAAATAAACGAACGCACGCTCGCATGACCGTGTTTTTTAGCACTCCATTGAATACAGAACACTAAAATGGCGTAAGTACCTAATGTTGATTAAGWTGTTTTACAGTTGATAGACGATAATATTAAAACGTAAACGACGAAAAAAAAACGCAGGCACGTCGTGTATTGCAGAGGATTTAAATATAKATTATCAATTATTAATTACCATTAAGCGCTTCATTAAAATTATAAAGGAAACCTTAATTGAACGTCACCGTTTGACACTTGTCGTGGGTTTAATCAGTAAATTGTATCATATAACCTTACCTAACCTAACCTATATAAATGTTGATTATTTAATTTTAATAAATAAAATGTTATTGGACAAAATTAAATCGACATTCCGTAGTACTACCTTACCTATTAGCAGTTAATAGTAAAATAAGTTATTTTACTATCAATATTAAAACACATAATATCATAGAATATACTTGACATGGGTTGACAGACCATCTCCGTTCAAAATCGTTTTCCGTATCCAATGATAATAATTTGATACATTGTCACATTGATATTGAATTCAAATTTAATACATCCATAACAGTGACTCACTCGACATCTATTGTACAACAGAGCTGTATCCACTCGCTGGCCTTTTTAAAATTATAATACCCAACATACTGAGTGCATATTGAATAAAATACAATAAAACGTCAACACGTTAAGTGAGTAATATCGATTAGGCTTTTGTATAGTCGAGACGATATTATAATATCAAGGCGTATATAAAAAAAATACTGAAACGTAGCCACGCCGTGTATTGTAGGATATTTATAAATTCATTAACTTTGCCTTTGATGTTTTAATATAGCATTAATATTCCAATATGATAAAAATAAAGATTAATWTAGTAAATATAACAAATGCAACGTTTTCGTGAAAAAATCAAATCAATCTTCCGCAATACTTGTATAGTGAAATAAGTCACTTCAAAAATGTTTTTTATGAAATATACTTTTCATAGGCTGACAGACCATTTCGCTGTGCAGATTAATTTTTGTATACAATGGTATTATAGAATTTAATTTAAATTTAACACATCCGTTACAGTTACCCACTCCGACACCTACTGTACAGCTGAGCGATACTTACTTGCCCATATTTAAAAAAATTATAAATCTCCAGTTCCTGCATACAATATTRGACTATATTGAATATAATACACCAAAACGTCGTAATCAATATCAATTAAGATTTTTTATAGTCGAAAAACGATAACGTAAAGACGTACAGACATACAAATGCGTAGGCACGTATAATGTATAGTAGAGTACCTATATTTTATATTATATTGTTTGGCTAGGCCAACGTTTCCCAACCTTTTCCCTCACGGCACGTAACCCATATTTAGCCATAGCACACTTGACACTGACTTATACATATAAGGGTGATTTTTTTTTATCGAAGAACACTCATTATTTAAAAAAGTATTGACTTTTTTCAAAATATTTTTTTACATAGTTTCAAGTTGTTAAAAACAAACGTTTTTATTAAAAAATTATATTTTTTGTCCTTATCATTTTTTAAGTTTTTTACTTTTCTGAATGACAACATAGAGTTTTAATTTCATATTCCAAAGCAGAATATTWTTCTAAGTATTTTGATTCATAAAAATCGAATTTAGGACGAGTAGTTTATGAGTTATAGGTATTTAAAGTTTAGATTGGCAGAGTGGTGTGGTACGGGGTTACCCTGCAAAATGTTTGTCCACTACTCTGCTTGTTTAAACTTTAAATACATATAACTCATAAAATACTCGTCCTAAATTCGATTTTTGTGAATCAAAACACTTAGAAAAATATTCTGCTTTAGAATATAAAATTAAAACTCTATGTTGTCATTCAAAAAAGTAARAAACTWAAAAAATGATAAGGATAAAAAATATATTTTTTTGTTTTTGGGCTTTTCACGAGCCATTTAGGCTTTTGGCTTTTGAAATTTATTGATATTGAAAAACAGAGACATTGCGTTATCATTATGTTATGTATGTTAGATATGAAAATCTAGTGCTAGTAAGAAATTTTCCATTGGTTTCCAACGTATTCAAATAGTTGACAAGCACGCCCTCATAATGAGAGTAAGAGAATTGTTAAAATTATTTTAACTTATTATCGAATTTATAAGTAATCGTAAAGATAATCATGGTATTTCGCGGTACACATATTTAGGCTTCACGACAAACCGGTAGGGAAACGCTGGGCTAGGTCATAATTTTTTTAAATAAAATAATTGTAGTAAACGTAACGTAACGTAACGTATTTTATATTTTTTTTTATAATAATAATAATTATGTCGTTGGCCATCGAACAATAACTAATGATAAATTAAAATTACTGTACTACGATATGTACATGATTGAAGTATGTAATTGTCCTTGTTGTCAGCCGTGAAAACACGTATCCAATGAAAAACTTTTTCGTATTTTATGGTTTCTAAGTATAAGCTGACGGAAAAATAAATTACGATCCGCGCGTCCGTACTAGACAAAATTCGAACTGTATAGATACCTACTGTCGAATGTCCAAATATAACTATAGATTTTGCTATAGATATCTTTGGTGCGTAACTATGCTTTCTTGTCATTCGGACATCGCTTTAAGGATGTAATATTATCGTTCGCATAAATAATAATACAATGTATGTATACGAAGAAACTATCGAGTAATTTAAATACTTTGCTCCATACCTAGCAATTAATTATAAATTATTACAAAATTTTAAGAACACCTAAAATAATATGATAYTGTTAAGAGTTATAGAAACAACATTGTGTCGGGAAAAAAACCTAACCGAATAAAAAAGAATAATATTGTTTTAMATTTACAATACACCTATATACCTAAATTATCGTTGTAATATTTTTTTTTGATCACCTACATACCTATTATATGAACTTTTGTCACATGTCAAAAKCGTAAATTTTTAAATACCACTAATAACRGTATGAAATGCACTTGACTGTTGGCATTGCTGCAGTAGACCACTATTTGGYGACAATGACGATTTCGTGTAAACACAAAATAAGGTTCTAAAATCTTATTTTTTCCCATTATGATTTTTTAACGTAGAATTTAATTTTTTTACTCTCGGTGCAGGATTTCGAATGGTAAAAATAACGGCTTACTGCTTAAAAATGTTTTTGAATTAAGACTTCATGCTTATTTTATTTGCATATATTATATACAATATTATGTCGGAATGTTGGATACAGAAAATTGTTGAAATATAATTACTAGAAACATCAGATTTACACACATTACAACCAAGTTCAACGTTTTTGTGATTGCTGTGATAAGTTAGGTTAGTATTTGTAACTACTAACTACTGCAAAATTCGAAGTCATATGAATTTTGTCCATTCGTATTAAAACTGAACCAAAACCCCGTTATATGTATAGACAAATATAAACCGTCATCGCCGATCATATTTATTGACATACAATTAATAAAAATTATTACCTATTTAAATTCAATATTTATCTATTTTTTAATATGTAATATTATATAACATTAAGCAAACAGAGTAAAATATATTGTGGTCAAACACGCATAAGACAGTGGTAAAAAATTGTATGCTTTGGTCTTATGGTTCTCTCACTACATTTTCTACGGGAAATGAAAATTCTTATTGACCATATGTTTGTATTGCCAATTACAAAAACTATGTATTATGTACTATATGAAAACAAATTTTTAAATAACTTTTTTCAATACTATTYATTGAATCCTATTTTWCAATTGTGAAAAAAAGTATATTTACTTAATAATTACATTTTAAGAAGGCTTAATAATTGGGGTGATTTGGCAGAGCCATCGTTAGGGTCTTAGCTCCCCTCTTCAAGSCCTTMTATTTTCCMCTTCGGTTAGGTGTAGGCACCTACGTATAGGGCCAAATCAAATGATCGTTTCCATTTCAATACCGTTTTCCCAGGCAGCATAACTATGACGGTGTTTTAATTTATTTCAAAAACATTGTAACGATGTTAGTGTTTTTCAAAATATTTCAAAAAAATGACCATTTCCCAAAATATGCTATTATTGTTATTAATCTTTGCGTACTGTCACGTGCGGACTTCATTATAATTAATAGATAACACTATATTATATAGTCTAGACGATATCGTACGAAACTGTCAACTGTGAAAGCCGG